TCCAATTCCTCCTCCTCCTCCTCAGCCTCGTCCGCCTCACCATTCTCATCCAACCTGCCCCTTCCCCCCCAACACACCAACGCATCCGATCCCCCGCCACGTTTGTTTCCCTCCTGCTGTCCCGCCCTGGCCTCGTGACAAACAACGGAGTCTCAAATGAGCCTTCGGACTATGCAATGAAGCCCTAAGGGAACGTAAGGGGCGTCGCCTTCCCTCCCCACCCCCCCTTCCTAACGGCTCCCGTTCGCCCGTTCGTACGTAGTCTGGCTGCTACCGTAAGGGGCGCCACAGAAGGGACGAACCCTCTGGTGGGCCCCACAGGGCGCCCAGGCGCACGAGGAGTGCCAGAGGAATAACCAGGGAAGGCCCTATGGAGCAGCGAGCTCCCTCCGAATCCGAACTACTCATCACGTCAGCAGGTTGTCTGGTGTTTGTCAAGCTTGCACGCAGGGCGTTCCACTGAGATGTAACGCCCCCCGATACCCAAACCCAAGGGCGAGATCACGAGCACAAATTTGAAAATTCAAAACAAGAACCCTGGCACGCCCAAAAGGAACGGAAACAACTGAACATTTATTATCGTCCTACTTCTCCTCCTCCGTGCCCCCCCTCCTCTGCCTTGACGAAGCCTCGAAGCTGAGGTCAGTATCCAACTGTCGCCGCGACACCCTAGTCTCCTTCTCCCGTAACAAGATTAGAACACGTGTCCCTGGGCGAAAAACAATACCCCAGCAAGGTCCCGACAAGGTCCCCATCAAGGATGCCGAAGTCCTCGGGGCGGTCTTCCAAACCCCACAAGGCCCCCAAGATTGTCCAAGAGGGCCCCGAATCGCTGAACGATCAGTCCAAGACGTCCAAGATGGCCTCCAGTCGGCCGAAGAAACACCCAAAACGTCCTTGCAAGGCACACGGTCTCAGACGTCCCAGGAGGCCCCCAGGACCGCCCTAAGACGGCCCAAGCGGGGCCCCCATGAGGGCCCCAAGACGGTCCAAGAGGCGCCAAAGACGGCCCAAGAAGGCGCCAAGAGGGGGAACACGGACCGAAAATCCGAGCCTTCCACCCCGAGGTACCCAAGGAGGCCCCAAGTGACCCCCAAGAGGCCCCAGGAGGCCTCCACAAGGCCCTTAAGAGGCCCAAAAGAGGCCCGAAGACAGCCGACGAAGCATCATAATTAACTACCAGTTATCAGTGTGAGTTTAAAGGTTCGAGCAACATGTTGTTGTTTGTTATTTTTTGTTAATATGTGACTATCATACTGTTTGATTAAACTTGGCATGTAACTATCGCATCTCTTGCAAAAATTCCACGAAACGCTGTACTGGGCGGAGGGGACCCATGCGGGCGGTAGTACTAGCGCTGTCGGTGGAGCTCCCTATGGGGCCACGAAGCGCTGTACTGCGTGGGGGGACGCACGCGGGCGGGAGCGCTGGGGCCTCTGGTGGAGCTCCCTGTGGGCCAGGAAGCGCTGTACTGTGTGGGGAGGGGGGGGGGGGGACGCGTGCGGGCCGTAGCACTGGGGCCATCGGTGGAGCTCCCTATGGGCCACCAAGCGCTGTACTGGGTGGGGGGGACGCATGCGGGCTGTAACGCTGGGACCTTCGGTGACCCCTCCCCAAACATCCGACCCTTCAGTCCGCGGCCCCAGAGGCCAACGTTCGCCGGGTCCACTATCTGATAGCCTAGGGGACCAACAACGGGCCACAGAGGCCGAAGCCTAGGAAATGCACCCGCATTGCCAGGCATCAGATCGACGGAGATCTGGCTCTGGCAAGGCTCTGGGCTGCTCACAGACAGCCACCCCAGGCAGTCCCAGCTGGCCTCCACAGGCCCCCCCGCCTCCGAAGGCGCCGGGGTGCTGAGACCGCCCAGGGCTACTCGGGGAGCCTGCTGAGGCCAGCTGGAACGAATCGGGGAGCGTGTTGTTGAGGCCAGCCAGGGCTACCTGGGGAGGGGCCGCCTGCGCGCATCCCCCCTGAGATCAGACGTTTAAACAAATGGAGGTGCCGTGAAAAATCGCGCCTGGATCCCTGGACCCCATCTTTCTGTGGAGCCGGATCGATCTGTGAGGGTCCCGGGGCCCGACAGTATCGAATGCGCCTGGCTCGAAATTTGCCTGGCGAAGCGAAGCGCCCAACCATATGCAGTTGTGAATACTGCAGTTTTGGGTATCGTCTCCAGTGGAGCTCCCGATGGACCACGAAACGCTGTGCTGGGCGGGGGTGGCACACTGGGGTCCCCGGTGGAGCACCCTATGGGGCCACGAAGCGCTGCACTGGGTGGGGGAGACGCATGTGAACTGTTCCGTTGGGGCCTTCTGTCGAGCTCACGAGGGGGCCTCGAAACGCTGCACTGGGCAAGTGGGACGCATGTGAAGTGTTCCACTGGGGCCTTCGGTGGAGCTCCCTATGGAGCCACGGAAAGCCGTGCTGGGTGGGTGAGACGCATGTGGGCACCGCCACTGGAGCCTTCGTTGGAGCTCCCTATGCGGCCACGAAGCGCTGTACTGCGTGGGGGGACGCATGTGGACACCGCCACAGGGGCGTTCGGTGGGGCTCCCTATGGGGCCACGAAACGCTGTGCTGGGTGGGGGAGACGAATGTGGACACCGCCACTGGGGCCCTAGGTGGAGCTCCCCATGGGGCCACGAAGCGCTGCGCTGGGTGGGAAAAGCAAACGTGGACACCGCCACTGGGGCAGTCGGTGGGACTCCCCATGGGGCCACGAAACGTTGTGAACTGGGTTTGGGAGACGACGCTGTGAACTGGGTGGGAGAGACGCATGTGAACATCGCCACTGGGGCATTCGGTGGAGCTCCCTATGGGGCCACGAATCGCTGTGCTGGGTGGGTGGGACGCATGTGGTCACCGCCGCTGGGGCATTCGGTGGAGCTCCCTATGGGGCCACGCAACGCTGTGCTGGGTGAGGGGCGCATGTGGACACAACCACTGGAGCCCTATGTGGAGCTCCCTCCTGTGGGGCAGCGAAGCGCTGTGCTGGGTGGGAAAGGCACACGTGGACACCGCCACTGGGGCAGTCGGTGGAGCTGTGCTGGTGGGGGAGACGCATGTGGACATCGCCTCTGGGGCATTTGGTGGAGCTCCCTGTGGGGCCACGAAACGCTGTGCTGGGTGGGAGAGACGTAATATGTTGACAACGCCACTGTGGCATTCGGTGGAGCTCCCTATGGGGCCACGAAGCGCTGTGCTGGGTGGGGGCGACGCATGTGGTCACCGCCACTGGGGCAGTCGGTGGAACTCCCTATGGGGCCACGCAGCGCTGTGCTGGGTGGGGGAGACGCATGTGGACACCGACACTGCGGCATTCGGTGGAGCTCCTTATGGGGCCACGAACCGCTGTGCTGATTGGGGGAAACGCATGTGGACACCGCCACTGGAGCATTCGGTGGAGTTCCCTGTGGGGCCACGAAACTTGTGCTGGGTGGGGGGAGACGCATGTGGACACCGCCACTGGGGCTGTCGGTGGGGCTCCCTATGGGGCCACGAAACGCTGTGCTGGGTTGGGAGGACGCACGTGGACACCGCCACTGGGGCAGTCGATGGGACTCCTCCTGGGGCCACGAAACGCGAAACGCTGTGCTGGTTGGGGGAGACGAATGTGGACACCGCCACTGCGGCATTCTGTCGAGCTCCCCGTGGGGCCACGAAGCGCGGTGCTGGGTGGGGGGGACGCATGTGGACACCGCCACTGGGGCCTTCGGTGGGACACCCTATGGGGCCACGAAGCGCTGTGCTGGGCTGGGGAGACCCATGTGGACACCGCCACTGGGGCCCTAGGTGGAGCTCCCTATGGGGCCACGAAACGCTGTGCTGGGTGGGGGAGACGCATATGGACAGCTCCCTATGGGGCCACGAACCGCTGTGCTGGGTGGAGACGCCTGTGGACACCGCCACTGAGGCCTTCGGTGGGGCTCCCTATGGGGCAACGAAACGCTGTGCTGGGCTGGGGAGACGCATGCGGACACCGCCACGAAGACATGCGGAGGGCAGAGGCAGGGATGGGAAGAGGGAGGAGGGGGAGGAGGGAGGAGAAGAGAAAGGAAGGAAGGAAGGAGGGAAGGAAGGAGGGAAGGAGGGGATGCGGGGACCGCCTCTTCAAAACGAAGACCGTACACCACAGGATGGTTGGGAAAAATTGAATCGCCAGGATCTCGGGGTCCGAGCCTTGCAGAAACTTTTGGGTCGTCGTTTGGCCCTCCGCCGACCGCTCGGGGGGGGGGATCCCGGCACCCCCGGAGCGCCCCCGGCGTGGTACTGCTGGAAAGCACCCCGAGGCCGAGGCTCGGATGCCGACGAGAGCCACCAGGTTAAGGTAGGTCGGGCATGTCCTCCTACAGGCGGATTTTTGGCTAGAAATGAAAAGTAGTCAAAGGAAACCCCAACATAATAAAAACAATAATCAAAAAATCGTCCCTGTACTATTTTTAACTTGTTTTGAATATTCCTCCTGTAGGGGGGCGAGGCCCAACTTAAACGCTCAGGAATCAGACAACTAGATAAACACACAAAGCAAATTGGCGGAGAACGTTCGAAGAACTCAGGAGAAAAACTGCAACAAACATCTGGATCGAACATAATCACATCGTCGGGGATCCTGAGCGGGAGTCTACCGTCCCCTGCACTCGTAAAGTCCTACCACGGCATGGTCTTCTATAGAACAGCAAAGTAGTATAAGACCACGATGGCAAGATGGAGGAGGAGGAGGGCAAGGAGGAGGAGGCCGCCGATATCGAGGCTGGCAAGTCAGGGCGCTTCGCCACTGCTCGAGGATCTGCCCCCGCTGCAACAGCTGGCGAAGGAGGCCCCGCGCCTCCCGGCGCAGCGCCGCCCGCAGCGCCGCCGCTGGGGTAGGCGGCCTCGGCGGGGCACGCCTGGCAGCGCCGCGCCGCGCGGGACGCGCGGGCAGCGCCCTCCGAGGGCCACGGCGGACAGCGCCGACGACGACGCCGACGCCGACGACGACGGCACCGACGCCGACGCCGAGCGCCGAAGCCGAGGGTCGAGGCCACGGCCAAGGCCGAGGACGACGACGGCGACGCTGAGGACGACGGCGGCGGCAACGGAGGCGACGACGACGACGACGACGACGACCGACGACGACGACTACGCCGACGACTGCGACGACGACGACTACACTGCCCTGCCTTATGATGCGACTTGAACACTCGACTTGATTGTGTTTTTCCTCGCCTTCGGCTTGTCGTATTGTTTGGCCTCCGGGACCGTTTCTGGGCCCTGGGAAATTCAGGAACGGACCCGGGATGATGAACTAACCCCACGAAGTTTTTCGGACGATTCTTCGACACGACCTGCACATAATGCATTACTGATACAAAGATACCTATACGAACACCCTGCGGGTGATAAGGAGGTGAGGGGGGAGGGGGAACCAACGTCTCACTCAATCGATCTGTCTATCGATCTCACATTCGATCTCATTATCGATATCACTATCGATCTCGCTATCGATCTCACTATCGATCTCACAATCGATCTCACAATCGATCTCACATTCGGTCTCACACTCGGTCTCACTGTCGATCTCACTATCGATCTCACAATCGATCTCACTGTCGATCTCACATTCGGTTTCACATTCGGTCTCACTATCGATCTCACAATCGATCTCATTATCGATCTCACAGTCGATCTCACTATCGATATCACAATCGATCTCGCAATCGATCTCACATTCGGTCTCACAGTCGAACTCTCATTCGGTCTAGGTTGGGGGGGAGGGGCCCAGCAATGGGCAACATCGTAATTGTTTCCCTTCCTCTTTCGAGCTCGCGCATCATCATCACCATCATCACCATCATCATCATCACCATCATCATCATCATCACCATCACCATCACCATCACCATCACCATCACCATCACCATCACCATCACCATCACCATCATCATCATCATCATCATCATCATCATCATCATCATCATCATCATCATCATCATCATCATCATAATCATCCACATCATCATCGGGACACCGACGGGACAGAAGCGGGACACCGGCGGGACACCGCGCGCCACCGGCCGCCCGGAAGGGAACATTTGGTCCGGCCGCGCCTCAGCCACAGGAGAACCGACGGGACACCAGCGGGACACCGGCGGGACACCGCGCGCCACCGGCCGCCCGGTGGAGAATCATTTGGTCCGGCCGCGCCTCAGCCACAGGAGACTTTCTCTTGCCCGCCCACGCAGCTTCGCCTCGCCCGCACGCACGGCACGCACGAACACGAAACCGAAATCGATTTCCCGGTAGGGGGGCTCTCCGTTCCACTTCGATCTCACCCCCTCACCTCCGATTTATGTAACCAAATGCTAGATGCATCAAATAATTCCAATGCAAATCAGAATTCCGAAACGCCGGCTGGGACTCAGAATCCGGGTCACTACCAGTTCGAACCCCCCCCTCGGAAAACTGGGGGTGGCACTACCGCCGGCGGCGTTCAACGTTGAACGCCAGCGGCGGGCTCGCCGCCAGTCGACACGACGCGAATCTTCCGTACCGATGCCGCTGCTCCCTGGACCTCTCCAGGGATGCGTCCTGACCAGAATTAGGTCGGGCATAACCTCCGACATGCGGATTTTTGAAGAGAATCCAAAAGAGCCAAAACATACTGAAACATTTCCAAAGAGCGCGAAGAATCGTCACCAGACTACTTGTTTACTATTCTTGAACACTCCTCCTAGAGGGACATGCCAGACTTAAGACCAGAACGTCGAGGTGCATCGGCGACGAGGGCCTCCCAGGAAGCCAGCAAGGCCAACACTTTCAGGGGCAGCCGTGTCGGTACCGTCTCCTCCCCTGTTCTGAGGAGAACGGGCCCTGGACACCATTGGGCCTTGGCCATCCCCGGAGGACCAGCTTCTCGTCCCGAGCAGTTCCTTCTAGACGAGGGCGGCGTCATGTTGCGATTGGCCCAGCTTTCGCTCCAGAAATACTTGAGTATCTATTGGCCTGCGGCCCATCCCGCAATCGTGCCTGGGTTGCAGCTTAGAAGCCTCTCGGGGCCCTCGGGGCCCGTTGAAATGCGCTGGCGGCTCCGACGAAGCCGTGCGGGAAGCGCCCGGGAACCGCGGTAGGCACGCCGGGGACCGCAGAAATCATGAGCATCTGGCGCCTGGGCCCTCTTGATGCTCACTCAAACCTGAGGACTGAGGGCTGGGGACTACCGGGGACGTGAGGGCACTCCAACTCGCGCCTCGTGGCAAGGTGGTCGATACTGAGCCACTCGCCATTGTCCACACATGTTCCCCCAAGAGGTTCTGAGTACAACGGATGGGGGAGCACATAATTTCCAATGGCTTGGCCAGACTGCGACCCAACGTCTGGCCGCAGGGGCGCTCCCAAAAGGCACGGGGGCAGCGGGGATTCGCCGCAGGCGTCTTCGCTACGCCCCAGGATTTCTGAAGCAACTGGCCAGCTGCGCCGCCAGGCTGAGGCGCGCCCGCTGGCCTTCAGCGCCGCGGCCATCTGCCGCATGAGGGAGAGGTCCGCGGTGCTGCGGCAGACGTAGGCCTGGGCCCGCGCGGCGCGCCCGCTCCCAGGGAAAGCACAGACCTCGGGGGGCCGGCCTCACCCGAGCGACGAAAAGAGGGCGGGTGTTACGCACGGAGGCATGCTCTGGATGGGGCTTGCATCTTGGGCGTGATCGAACCTCCGACGAAGCCGGCGCATCCACCCCCCCCTCCCTCCTCATCCCTCCTCCTCCTCCTCCTCCTCCTCCTCCTCCTCCTCCTCCTCCTCCTCCTGCCGCCCCACCCCCCCAACCGTTCCGACAACACGTGCGCCGTCCACGCGGATCCAAAAGATGGGCGATGAATATTGTCTCATACAGGACTAGCGACTCTGCGTCGCGGCTCAAGCGGGCCGCCACCGCGACACACCGCCACTTCAAACTGCTTACCTGCATGTGGCTTCACATGAAGAAACTTACGCGCGATCGTCGGCGCAATCGACACCGTCTTCTTCCGCCGCCCACCTCCAACGGCTGCGCCGGGGGGGGGATCGGCTCAGGAGAAGGGGCGTCGAAGCTTCGAGGCGCGAGGTTTTCGGTCGTGTGCGTGAGCTCGCGGCGGTTGCCCAGCCTCGTGACGCTTTCCAGCGGCTGCGCCTCGCCGACAGCATCCGGGGGGGGCCCAAATCTTCCCGAACGGCCGCCTGAGAGCCGAGTTAGCGCCCGAAACATTTATTGCAAGAGATGAATCGTGCATACTCAGATGCACACCGTGCTTTTCAGGCAAATATCAGGTAGTATCTCTCTCTCTCTCTTTCTCTTTCTCTCGCTCTCTTTCTCTCTCTCTCTCTCTCTCTTGATCCCTCCAGGGTGGGATGGTGGGTTGGTACGGGCAATGCTTGTTCAGTGGGCCGAGTTGGTTTCCCTGTAACCTTGGATGTGCTTGGACAGTTCCATAAGTGCTTGTACATTGCCGAAACTACTGGAGAGAAGGACGAAGAGGAGAAAGAGCACCAGACCGATTGAACTGAGGGAGAACGGAGGGAAGACGGATGGAGGAAGGGGCCTTCACTGCGTCCTTCCTCCTTCCTCCTGGCCAGTCCCTCCTCGCTCCCGCCATCGGGTTTCTGGTTTCGCAAATGAGACATGTCTTGCGTGAGCACTATACCGCAAATGAACTGTGAAGTATGCCGCGCTCCGCTGTTGAAGCTGCGCGAAAAAGACATGCCGCACCAATCCGCACCCTCCGCGTGTCACCTCCGTAATATCGCCATTAGCGTGGTCGTTCTTTCCACCAACTCTGACAAGCTGGAACTATCCAGCTCTGAATTCCCAGCCGCAGGTAGAACGCGGTAGAAAACCAAAGGGGGAGCAAGTATGGGGAGGAAGGGGAAGGAGGCAAGAGAGGCCTCCCAGCTGCGGGCCTCGGCGCGGCCGTCGGGCCTCAGGCCCTCTGGTAGCTGCAAACTGCCACTGTTATGACAACGTGGTGGTCGCAGAGCCGGCTCTGTTCCGCGGGCGATCGTTTGAATTGCTTTCCCTTTCCTGCTGGAGCCCTCCTCCCTGCACTGGGGAGGACCTGGCACGAGGCAGAAGAGATGGCAAGAGGGCGCCGACTCCTGACTTCTGAGCCCCGCTGCTGCATCCCTCTGTTCAAGCACAACCGTCGCTAGGCTGGACAGCCAGGCGAAAGGGGAAACGAGCGGGCTCGCAGAGACTGGCCACCACAAGAATTGGCCAGATCCTGTGGTACTCTGCTGCTTTATCAATGGTTCCTGTGGCACTCTGCTGCTTTATCGCTAGGCTAGACAACTCAAATATATTGGGCCGTGCAGACTGGCGTAGACGGGCCTCCACAAGAAATAGCCTGATCCCGTCGTACTCCGCTGCTTCATTGATGGATCATGTGGTGCACTGCTGCTTTGCCGTGACCCGCTGGACACAAAAAACTCGAGAGGCAGCCTGCAATGTAAACGAATGCTTGGACAAAGGCCGCAGCGGCACGGCAAGAGTGGCGTCAATCATGGCTTGAGTCATGCTGCTTGATGACTGAGAACGCTCTTGGCGGCCTGCGCACCTGAAACAACGATATCGCTTGGACACCCAATCCCACCCACCACAAACCAGCCCAGGGCAGCTGAACGATAGGTCCGGTCGACTGGTTGCGCGAGGAGGGGTGAGAGGAAGAGACACATGAGGAGCATGTGAATGTTGGTGTCAGGGTCTGCTGAAACGCCTATAGCGCGCCTGGTGGCGCTCCCAGGCGCAGTCGTTGCAATCGACACCGTTTCCGAAGCGGCGTTTCCTGACTCAGGCTCGGCACTCACCCCTGTCTTCTTGCCCAGCTCCCTTGACGCGGGCACTACTGATTGCCTGTTCGACCCTGCCCGCGAGGGGTCGCCCCTCCCGGTCAGACTCCGCGGCCGCGTCCGGCACCTTTGGGGCGGCCGCGGGCAGCGAGACGGGGGCGCAACCCACTGCGGCCGCGGCGCCCAGATTGCCGAAGCCTTCGGCCGCGCCTTAATTCACACTCTGCAGCTGCGGCACCGATACTATCGCGACGCCGTCCTCGACCATCGACGCCCTGGCGAACTGGCCCACGGGCGTCGCCTCCGCTGCGCCGAAGCCGACGCCCACTTGGCCAGAGTCGCCCGAAGCCCCGAAGCCCCGAAACCACGGGCCTCGAAGAGGAGAGTCGACGCGCGACTCCGGCTCGGCCCACGAGCCCGGGGGCCGAGATGGCCAAAGAAGAAGGGCCCCGCGACGCAGCTTGGCCGGCTCCTGCGCGCCTGGCGCACCCCACGGCCTGCGGCCGGGTGCGTTGCGCCTCCCTCTCGACGAGAGGCGGCGCCTCCGCTCTCAACGTCGCAAGCTGGATGAGCAGCCGCACTGCCCGCTCCGCTACGCTTGCCTCCACGTCGCAGCTAATGTCCGAGGCCACTTCGTACTCCAGAATGGACAGTGCCGCTGGACCTTGCTAAGCCCCCGCATAGAAGCCATCGCGGGGCGCCTGGCTGGCACCCCGAAGGCGCGGGAAGCCGCTTTACGCTCGGCCTTTTTCACGTCCTCGATCTCCTCGCCGTCGAGCTTGGCGGCCAAAACTGGCGCGACTAGCAGGGACCGCCGCGCGCGCTCGGCGTCGCCGAAGACCGCGCGAAGGTCGCGAAGCTCGTTGGGGAGCAGCCACTCCGCCATTACGGCGCTCGAGTTCCCTCGCCATCTTGGCGACCGCAGCGTCGGCGGCCGCCTGCGCCCCGCGGCCAGCAGCAGCGCGCGCGGCCAGCGATCGCCTGGCCCGCAGAGGATCGCTAGACCCATCCCCGCCGCTCCCCCCCCCTCGCCCGACGCCTTCGCTCCTCTCTCGCAGCGCCCCGCAGCGATCCCAAAGCACGGCGGCCCGCGAAGCCCGAGTAGGGTTCGGCGACTACAATGGGCGCGGTTTCTCACCTCCGCCTCGTGCGTGTTCACCTCCGCCATGTGCCTGCCCAGGCCCGGCGTGCTGCCGCAGTCCAACGCCATCGTCGTCATGGACGTTGAGGGCGCGGTCGTGCTCTTTTAGACCCTAGGTTTGACAAGCCGTCATCGTACACATCACAGCAGGGATCTGCGCACCAGACGGGCGCACCGTGCCCTGACCAGACCATGGCTGTTGGCGCCCAGCGGGCCGCGGCACGGCCAGTGGACTGAGGCCGTCCCCCCCTCGCGTGCGGCGCGGGGGCTACGAGTTTCTCGCAAACGGCCTTCCTCCTTCGTCTCCTTCTCCTCCTTTTCCTCCTCCTTCTCCTCCTCCTCTTCCGCCACCTCCGCCTCCGCCTCCGCCTCCGCCTCCGCCTCTGCCTCCGCCTCGGCCTCCTCCACGGCCTCCGCCTCCGCCTCCGCCTCCGCCTCCTCCTCCTCCTCCTCCTCCTCCTCCTCCTCCTCCTCATCCTACTCCTCCGCCTCTGCCTCCTCCTCCTCCTGCTCCTTCCCCCATCCCTGCACGTGTGTGCACCTGTCTGCCGTTCCCGCCATCCCTCATTCCCTCATCCCTGCTGCTCCTCGCACCTCATCCCACATCCTGTCCATCCCTCACTCCTTCCTCCTGCTCACCGTGCTCTTCCCCCTCCTCCACCTCGCACTCCCGTTCCTCCTCCCTCACTCTTCATCTCAAGCCTCAAAGGGATGCAAGCCTTTTCTCGAGTTGCCTGTGCCAGTCCGGCCAGTCTGTTTGGCCGGAGGAAGCAGCCGCCGCGTCGTTAGCTCAACATCCTGTCACCAGGCACACGGGCGTACTACAGGCGAGAAGGACAGGTCTCTCAGCGCAGGCTCCGAAGGAGTGCAGCACACAAGCAGGAGAAGGATGAGGGAGCAGGAGGGAGGGAGGAGCAGGATGGTGATTGGTGTTCGGGGGCAAGGTGGGGTGGGCAGGATCGAATCTGAGTATGCGTCGGATCGGGCGCGGTCGGCACGGAGTCGAAATCGAAATCGGAACGGCTGCGCCATGACGTACAACAGCGCCGTGCAAGCATCGGGCCGCATCGGATCGTCGGAATGTGATATCGAACCAGAGTGAGCGGGCTGGAGTCGATATCGAATGGGATCGATCGGATCGAAGGCGACAGCAGGGAGCTGCTGCCTACGAGGTGGAGGAGACAGGGGCAGATCTCTTGACACACCAGCTCCGCGGGAGCGTGAAGCCAACGCTGGGAGGGGGGGCGCTAGGGGGCGAGGGAGGAGGGCGAGGGAGCGGAGGGGAGGTGGGAGAGAGGAATGAGAGGCGGATAGACGAAGAAACAAACCTTGACAATGAATACACCATTAGGTCGGGTATGTCCTCCTGCAAGGGGGATATTGGACGACAAATAGAAAAATACGCAAACATATCCCAACATAGTTTTAAAAACATTCGAACCATCGTCCCCAAACTGTTGTTTGACTATGTTTGGATATTCCTCCTGTAGAGGGACATGCCCGACTTAGACATCAGAACATATGAATTCTGCAGTCCGCGCTAATTTCTGGGACCAGCGTTTGGCCC